CCCCCAACACCCAGCCCTCTGCCCTGACCTCCCCACACCCCCCAGCCTTCTGCCCTGCACCTCCACACCCCAGCCCTCTGCCCTGAACTCCCTCCAACACCCAACCCTCTGCCCTGCATCTCCACACACACCCAGCCCTCTGCCCTGACCTCGAGTTGCCCCCAACACCCAGCCTTCTGCCCTGCACCTCCACACACACACCAGCCCTCTGCCCTGACCTCGAGTTGCCCCCAAAACCCAGCCTTCTGCCCTGCAACCCCCCACACCCCCAGCCCTCTGCCCTGACCCCTGAAATCCCCACTACCCTCTGCCCTGACCCCTGAACCCCCCCCCCCAGGTCTGGGGTCCCGGCTGCCAGCCCCTTGCCAGCCAGCGTCCCGGCCACAGGCCCCGCTCAGCCCGCTGCAGGCCTAGGTGAACAGAACCCCAGGCTGGAAGCGGGCTGAGCAGGCTGGCGGCGTAAAATCAGCATTTTAATTTAATTTTAAATGAAGCTTCTTAAACATTTTGAAAACCTTGTTTACTTTACATACAACAATAGTTTAGTTATATAATATAGACTTAGAGAGAGAGACCTTCTAAAAAACATTAACATGTATTACAGGCACGCGAAACCTTAAATTAGAGTGAATAAATGAAGACTCGGCACACCACTTCTGAAAGGTTGCCTACCCCTGGTCTACTTTGTCTTCTTAGGCCCTGATCCTGCAACGTGTTCTTACGTACATGAAGAGTCCAATTGAAGTCAATTGGATCATGCAAAGAAAGGGTCTGCATGGATGGACACTTTTGCAGGGCTGAGGCCTTAGATTGTAATCACCTGGGGACAGGGACAGCATCGTCCTTGAAGCTCTGTACAGAAGTGTTCTGAACTATACTATAGGTGTTCAGTAAATGAGGTAGGAGAAAAGAGAATGGAGAGAAAAATATTCCTGGTGTGAAAGTCTTTTTACATAAAAGATAATTATTAGATTTTTCCCATGTTAACTGTGGGCCTAATCATATATGATGCTAAGTCCCTTCCATGAGATATTGGATGCCCATGAACTTCTCTGGGAGATGAGGGTGCTCAGCACCTTGGAGGATAAGGCCCTGAGTTGTAAGTACTCAGTAAGAGTCTTAAATACAATATTATGATAACAGTATATTTCAAACAAATCATGATACTTTTTTTTCTTCCCCAGATGTGAGCTCTGGTAGTTCTATGGACTGGGCCTACAAAAATGGCATCCCCTATGCATTTGCATTTGAGCTGCGTGACACTGGCCATTTTGGATTTTTACTTCCTGAGACTCTGATCAAACCCACTTGTACAGAGACCATGCTAGCAGTTAAAAATATAACTATGCATTTGCTAAAGAAGTGTCATTGAGAGTTATATTTGGGATCCAGAACTTAGCTAATGTTTTACTTCAGGTGTTTATTAAATAGACACTGTCAAGCCATTGCAATTCTAAATCTGACATTTTAAAACTGTAGCTCACAGTAGAAAATGTGGTAATTATTCTACCTTGGAGGGTTGGGAGGTGAAAATCCTTTCACTTCTACACTGCAAAAGTCCTACTAAGTTAATATATCACCTCAGTGATTTGTTCACAACTAAATACTCTGTCCTTATTAGGGATGAATACTAAGGTCTTGATTCTAGACCATTGAAATAGTGGGATTTTTGCCACTGACTTCAGTTGAAGAAAGATCTAGTCCCAAATTCAGTTTTGGAGCCAAATTCTGGCAGGTTCCACACACTGCAGACTGCAAGGAAACCCACACCCAGAACTACAGGGCACAATTGGCTACCCAATTCCTTCCATTCTCCCATAAATCACAGCATCTGCAGGAGCCACAAAGGAACATTCCAGAGTGGGGTCTATAGATCAGTATAGTTCACATGTTCCTGCACTTATGTCCCCTAACCCAGCATTGGCCCTTCTACATAACGCCCTGTACTCCTAGTAGGAATAATGTATATGTGGTCCATGGTTGCTGCTGGCCAGACTACAGGCAGGAAACAGTATGATTTCTTCACCATATGTGTCTGCACTTTAGAGGCCATTTCTTTCACATAGTGCCAGAATTTGACTCCTAGTTTTCTTTTAAATATTCAGAGTTAGATATTTTTAAATAGAGAGACCAGCATATTATCATGAATAAATATAAATTTTAAAAGTTGTGTTCCCTGTAATAAAGAATTATAATAGAACAATTAATAGATATAATATTCCACTCTATGGATGTATAACAACAAAATAATTTGCAGTGACTGTGGACTTGGACAAGATCATCAGCTTCTGTACATAGCTGTGGGCAATGAAGTTACACCATTTTGCACCAGCTGAGGATTTGGCCCTTAAACAACAACAAATTGGAGTTCTTATTTCTAGGTACTTACAGTGAGTGCTCTGTGGCTACATGGCTATTCAAGGTTTTCACATGTTTTAAAGACATTGATAATGGATTTTTAACTGAATGGGACCTAAAATGTGGAAGCTTTGCAGCTGACAGGTTTCTAGTGAAGAAACACAGTATTTGAAAGAACAATGCTGAAAGCACAGAGGTTTTTTTGGTATTTTCAGAATAATATTTTTGTTGCTAGATCTTTAACATTTTATATGTTTTAATATTTTTGCTTTGAATTTAAATTTGTCATAAAGTGTTAAATAAATCACATTTGTTAATAAAAATCTACAGACTTATGAAGCATTCCTTCCATGTGCCTCCCCAACCCCTCTTTGTAATGTCATCCCTTGATCTATCACATTTAGTTATTAAACTCCTTGGAGCAGAGAAAGTCACTTATTTGTCTGTATAGCACAGGGGTCGGCAACCTACGGCACGCGTGCCAAACATGGCACGTGAGCCGATTTTGAGTGGCATGCTGCCTGTCCGGTGAGAGGAGGAGGAGGAGGGGCGTAGGGGCTGGAACGTACCAAGCTGTGGGAAGAAGCGGGGGAGGGGGGAAGCTTGGCTGCTGCAGGACCAAGCTTCTGCCTCCTGCC